CGGCTAACTTCAGACTCGCCAAGATACGGCGGCGGTATTGTATGTTTGTTATTGTATCACGCGAAAATGGCTGAACCGATTTGGTACGTAGATAGGCGACTACGGGATTAACACACAAGCCCATGTTTTTATCAACAAGTGTAAACTTCCAAATCTGTATCAATTTAAATTTTGTGTACGTGATGTATCCGCTTATAACATGTACCGTGTGAAAATAAAAACAATATAAAAGCTAATCGGCAGTGATCAGAAGTGACACGGGTGAAGTGCACGCTGCCTCCCGCACGCAGACTCACAGACACGCAGACAACTTCAGCACGTACGTTTATATAAAACTTTTTACTAAAAATAAATAAATCAGTTGGTGTTATTTAGAAATTATTTTTTTCTACGATTTTTGGACTGTAGTCGGGATTCTATTTTTTATTTTTGACCTTGTTATATTTAAAATTCTGGTTTGTAAAATTATAACTTTACCTAAATAAATATGAAGTACATTTCGTTAAAAGTCATTTGACGTTTTTACAGTAGATAGGACATTTTTATGAGTGACAAACGAGCAGACGGATCATCAGTTGGGCGGTAGGGAATTGGCCCCCTGGGGATTGGACATTAGAGGATCGGGGATTGGGATTTGATATTTGAGTATAAAGGCATCGAGGATTTGGGGGAGGATTCGGCCTCTGGTACCTTACCCATACCTCGTAACGTGTATGTTGATTTTCTGTGAGGTCGCGGTATCACTTCCATTCGTGCCGGAAGCACGGCTTGCCTTTTTGTAAGATATTAGGTATGCATATCGTGTGTTGAAGTGATTATAGTCCCATACGTACAGTAAGTGATGTACCTAATTAATATGTAAATTGGAAAAAAATTAAACGCTGTTGTCGAAATTTGTTGTCACATCAGAAAAAACCTTAAGAGAATGCAGTTTCGTGAAGCTCTATCTCTATAATCTTGTATTATAATCCTCGGAAGCAGCAGGTCGACGCTTGCATTCATAAGGCTCACATCGCAGCAACCTGCATTGCTTAGCCGCCGTCCCTTGTTGGACTACATTAGCCAGTGAATGCATCTCTACAATCTCTACAAATAATTTCCTTTTTATATTTCCATTGACTTTAAGCTGAGAGCTCTTTGCTTCATATCTTATGCGCTCTGCAGTGCACACAGAGTATGTGTATACAGAGTGTTCCTATTTCTGCTCTCCTCATATTTTGTATTCCTCCTGCACTCAAATCTTGCAGATAGCCTGAATTAAAATCTTTTTGAGAGTTTTAAGTAGCATGATACTTTGCTATCGCTTCTTTTATTTACAACTAGTTTCACTGTTACATTATGTAACTGAATAAATATTGTTCGATAAGTACTTTCTACATCAGGAACTTCCATATCATATCTCTAATAAGTATTACAAACTCAATATATACATACGTCCAATTACGTAGCTTCTATCTCGTTCTTCTCTAATCGAATCTTCACTTTGAAACTAGCACCCAGCTACACTGACAGACTGATTGACTAATTGAATTATTAAAACTACCTGTATATGGTTTAGTAAGGATGTAGTTTTTTTTTACTTTTAACAAACCAGAGCATCGTATTTTCATCAAACATCACCAACGCAACTATCATGAGTCAGTTGGTACAGACAACCACACATGTAAGTGTAGTGTATTTGATATGCAATGGGTCGAGGCGAGGCGAGGCGAGGCAGTGTGCCCCGCCGGGTGCAATAAAACATTTTGGGCCCACTTGTACATGTACACCGCGGGACGGGAAACATGTGACGACGCGCGACTTACTGCTCTACAATACGCTCAGCTATTAAAATGTGAGACTTTATAACGACCTGACAATTCTATGAAATGGTGGACATTTAAAGTACAACTTTTTAAGGACAATAAATAAACGAACGAACGAACACTTAAAGTTTAGTATGCTGATAACGATGAAAATATAAATACAATTTCAGTTCCACTAGTCTTTTATGTAAACCTCCGTGTACAGATTAGTTTAGAACAAAGAAGAAACTAGGCTTATTCCGAACGCGAAACAAATGACGACGAAGCATAGATGCATACACACCGAGTTCTAAAGACGTTACGACGGCGACGTAACAAGTGAGTCTCCATACTGTACTTATATATATATGTCTGTACATTGGTACCGAGATGTTCCCATTGTCCAGGCAACTTACTAGGTAATAGTAATGAGAGTTCGTCTGGAGTCCTCTACACACAACTACCACCTCGTAACATAACAGCAGCTGTTATATTAAAAGTTACCATAGGAAATTATAAACCCATATATTCCTATAGGTTTGTAAATTACTCGCTTGCTTACTGATTCAAGGAGTCCTCTTTTTTGGCTGGAAATTCACACAGTCCTTTGGTTTTGCACACAAGTCTGATCACTCGGTTTACCATCTATAAATTCAAATAAAAATTTCTGTATGTATTATCTAGTAACATGCGCTGCATAAATGCGCACCGGTGGCAATTATACGCAATCAGCCGACGCGTCCCCCGTGACGTCACGACGCATTGTGTTATAATAGTAACGATGTCTGTCCAACAGGATAATTGAACAATACGCATAATATACTGTCGGGTCATAAGTTCTGTCAAAACCTTATATTTTTAATTTTCGATTACTGGCCAGAAATTCTTCGACTTATTTTAAAAATAGAACTTTCGCGCTTGTAGAAAATAAAAAAGAAATTATTTTTTATTCATTTTTAAATATGGAGTGGTCGAATAAAGAAGACAGAATCGCGGTTATCGCGTTGCACCGCTGTGGTTACGCGCCAAAAGACATTTTCAATATTCTTCAAAATTTGAAAATAACGTTACGGTTTGTTTATCGTACTATCAAACGATACACCGAAGAGTCAAGCTTCGAAGATCGTAAGAGAAGCGGCCGACCTCGCACAGTTCGGACACATAAGGTCATCAAAGCAGTGAAGGCGCGAATCGAACGAAATCCCGTACGTAAACAAAAAATCCTAGCTCTGCAGATGGGGCTAAGCAGAACCACTGTTAAAAGAGTACTAAATGAAGACCTGGGACTACGAGCTTATCGTAAAAAGACAGGACATTTTTTGAACGAGCGTTTAAAAAAAATTAGGCTAGACAGATCCCGCGCTTTGCTACGACGGTACGCGGGAAAAAAATACCGCGAAATTCTTTTTTCGGATGAAAAAATTTTTACTATTGAAGAAAGTTTTAACAAACAAAATGATAAGGTGTATGCCCACAGCAGTGAAGAAGCAAGCGCGCGTATTGCGAGGGTCCAGCGTGGGCATTACCCTTCCTCATTCATGGTTTGGCTTGGAGTCTCATATTCAGGCGTAACTGAGGTGTTTTTCTGTGAAAAAGGTGTGAGAACTAGTGCCGAAGTTTATCAAAATACTGTCCTAACAAACATAGTGGAACCTCTTTCTCAGACAATGTTCAGGAACAGGCATTGGATATTCCAACAGGACTCTGCACCGGCTCATAAGGCACGAAGTACGCAAGACTGGTTGATCGCTCGTGGAATTGACTTCATCCGGCATGAAGACTGGCCCTCTTCTAGTCCAGATTTAAACCCACTGGACTACAAGATATGGCAATATTTGGAGGAAAAAGTCTGTGCTAAACCTCACCCGAATTTGGAGTCTCTCCGAGCATCTCTGGTTAAAGCAGCGGCAGACATAGATATGAATGTGGTGCGTGCAGCGATCGATGACTGGCCGCGTAGATTAAGGGCATGTGTTCAAAATGGGGGAGGGCATTTCGAATAATGTAAATAAAATTATATTGTACATTTAATGACCTTTCATTTCATATATAATTTTTAAATAATTGTCAAAAGGCGTATAAGTTATTACATCAAAAGTTTGTGACAGAACTTATGACCCGACTAAGTACATACGTCAGTTCTTTTCAATCTCTTGAAATAATTTGAAATGAGTTTTAATTCGACGCAATGTTAAGAATTTATATTAATATCCTTAGAATAAATGTTTTAAACCTATAAAAAGATTAATGATAAAGACTTAGACTAAACAAAGCCTAAAACGTGTGGCCTTAAAAATGTATGTGTATAAATAATGCGGTATTTTGCTACACGCTGCTGACTCTGAAAAACCACTTGCATCCAACAGCCCCCTTCGACTCTGATGATATTGACAGTATCTTGAGATCTGCCCACACCACATCTTTAAGTCACTAATATACATCTAAGAACACAACGTGGTACTCCCAGTCAGCACCCTCTTCGAACCTAATCAGTTGACAGATTCAATTTAACGCGTAATGAGGCATGGGCGCCTAAGTTAACAGGCTGTTTGCTTCTTGCCGGGTCGGGGGTTCATGTCCGCCGGGAAATTAATACCTGTACTCAACAAACTTTATGTTTAACACATAGATAACGCGATACTACCTACACTCGGGACCTAACCCATTTTTAATTACGCTTTTGAACTGCTGAACAAGTGAACAATGTACTGTACCTACCATCTACAATGCAATGTTATTAATGTTTTTTGTACATCAATATATGTACACATTTAAATTGTTTTACACAAAAAAATCGAAATGATAATAAATATATTTTAAACTGAGCCTGCAATTATTGTTAAAATTGTGATTACTATTGCTTCTAAATGAAAGTGTAAAGAAATTACAAATACAATGTATACTGACGTAGCTACATAAATGTGTGAAGTCCCGATTCGCCGTGGCTGGCGTATGCCTGGGCGCGTGCCGGTTATATTAAGCCTAATTGGTGTTATTTTATATCCCGCGAACATAACGCCTCGGTTTATTAGGTCGCTCTCGATTGCGTCGCGAAGCCCGCTCGCGACTCCCTACGGGATGCGGGATAGCGCTGTGAAATGCGGGACATTATGTGAGAGGAAACATTGCCGCCAACTGTTGGACAGTCCCGGCGGGACTGAGAACTAGAGTCCAGCTCATTACTGCACTTCTCATTTACCTGTAGACGCTGGATGCTCAACTACTGCTGAACTAAATGAAAGTCAATTAACAGATAGAGTTATGTTTCATTACAAGTAATTACCTTCAAATTGACAAAAGATATACACCAAGGATTTAAAAACACATCATATTCAACTAAGGCAAAAAAATTACAATAGTAAGAGGGATGATCAAAAAGCTGATTCAATATTATTTGTCTGTAAGGCGACAACAGGAAATGTGAGCACCGAGCAAATAATAGAACACTTTATTTATATAATTTGTCAATAAAAACAAGTGACCAATAAAGCGGTACGAAAATACCCGTGTATGTTGCGGAGGCCATATTTATTAAGGTTGACAGATGGAGAACATGTCCCGACAATATCAGCAGGTAGACGCGCTCTTTATGGCGTTTTGAAGCAACCCTAGTGAACGCGTCATAAATCAACATTTTTATTTTTACCCACCACTGTACCGGAATAGAAAGTACCGGAATAAATGTAAAGATGATCCTCGTTACAAGGAAGTGGTCTGCCGTCATCATCTTCCTGCCCTTGTCCCGTTTTATTTGGGGGCACAATATGTTTTTTTTCTTCCATTCTGTGCTGTCACCCGTCACGCTATCACTAACTCCTCTGTCTTCCATATCACTTCTCACACAACCCATCCTTATTTTCTTTGGTCTACCTTTCCCTCTCCATCCATCCACATTGGTGGTGTGGTCTGCAAGTACAACATGTTATATTAATTAAAAAATAGAAGTTGGTGCGGTGTATCAGCCATGAAGACAGTGTATAGTTGGGGTTGCGGAGTAAGCGCAACGAGCAGGAAAGGTTTTTAGTCAGTAAGAGTCTGACACTTCCTTTCGCCTCACCCTGGGCGGGAAAAGTGATTTGATGATTTTCCCCTAACAGTATAATCATACCTTTATAACGTAATATTTTTATTTGTCGTCTATATCCAATCGCGATGAGAAAACGTCTAAAATACTAACAGCAAATTTGAGCTCTAATTTTTTGAAATTAATCTTTAAATACGCTTTTTATGTATATGTAGGTACTTCATTTCATATAGGTACCTTCAAATCTTCATTCAAAAATGACTCTTATATATAACGAAATGTAATTATGTTGAATATTGCTAGAGCTACCCATCGCGACAGCTACGCTACAATGCCTTTTGTGGACGGTCGCCATGTTAATATTAAAATATGTTACAAAATTCTACACAGCTTCACAACGAGTGCATTGACCTCTCGTACGAATAAAATTTGACAATTGAGTACATTCGCAATGAATATTCCAGACATTCTCAAGAAATTGCACCGAAGCAGCGAATCTTTATAATATTTACATTTTATACTTTAATCTTAATAATAATCCACTTTGGTACCAACAGGTAATTCTAAATAAAACTGAAAATTGAATAAAAGTTAGTTCTGAAGAATTATAAGTGCATTCTGCCCACCCCACTCAAAATAATGATGAAAGGAACTAAATAGCATCAGCTAGATCACAACGTTAAGCAATACTCCAAAGCCCGCGTAATATCAGTGTGCACGTGGAACACACCGCAAACGCAGCTGGAACGCAGCTCACACGTAGCTCAACCGCTGTGCGTATCTAAATAATTACAATTACTTATTTAACCGCACTAAGCACACAAACATAACTCCGTGCGACCTCGCACCACCTCACCGCAACACTCCTCCTGTGCTGTAGTGATGTACCAGGAAGTTCAATACACAAAGTCTCAGAAAAGACTATTTTTATACCCTATCTTACATACAATACTGTATAATCAATACCCGCCTAATGCTTGAAATGTGTACAATTTTAACACTAATTAAACAAAATCACTCTTCCTCAACCTTATGAGCCGAATGTAGGCCTTCCTTAGTTACGTTAGTGTAAGCTTATTGTCCTGCAAATTGAAACAAACAACTGTAAGAAACTAAATATCAAGTAAGTAGTCAGTCTCTGAATATTGTAGCAACGAAGTTATGAGCGCAGTTTGCTAAATTATCGTAGAGACATCCGCAGAGCCGAGGCCCATCCCTAGCGCGGTATCAGCTATACTTAACGTTATTATCTGAGTTCATACCACTTTAAATTAGGCATTGTCTGTCTTGAAAAGTTTGGGCGCGCGGCGCTGTCGGTGGCGCACGTCGGGCGGCGCGGCGCGGCGCGGCGTGACGTGGCGCGGCGTGGCGCGGCGTGGCGGCGGCGGCGCGCTGAGCTCTTTAACTCAGCGTTACAAGTTGCCAGCTAATTAGTTACGATATTATGCATTGTGTCGGCTGCGTATTGTTCCTGCCTCCTCGATGCTCAGACTACATTATTTAAGATGCTTTATGAATCCTATTCTAGCTTTCAAGTACATATTTCTGTTACCAAGAATTCAGTTTATTTTCAAGGGTTTCTAGCTCTAGAAATAGAGAAATTCTCGTTTCAAATTCAAGCTGGTATCACTTTCTGTTACAGTTGCACTATGGTAATATTGTAGATTTCTTATGAGAGTAATATTGGAAGAACAGTGCAACAAGTATTACGGTAACAATATTCGGTTCTCTCAGTTTGCTCAGATTACAATAAATCGAATTCAGCTTGCCGCCGTATTTTAATACAAAGCCGATCCACTTGTAAATGTAGTGTAATTTGAGTGAATTAAGTGTTTAACATGTACAAGTATAGCTTGCGAGTGCAGTTTCACTCGAGTTTGGTAAAGCCGTGAACTTTTTTAATATAAGTCGAGTGAATCCGTGTGACTCATTACCGAGCAACACTCAACAACGAGATGTCAAAGTGCGCGCACGACATTATTTAGGGACTTTAATTAATTACGTCAAAATGTCTAGAGGTGCCCACTAAGATTGTATGTAACACAAACACACAGATAAAGCAGAACTAATTTACTATGGAATTCATAATACAAGCGTCGTTTCACGCCAGTATTTTATGAAACTGTAGCAAAACTCTCCTACAATTCTCTCAGTGTTTAATGTTTGAAGTACTGACTCGTAAAGTGAGCAAAAAACATACCAAACATTTTATGTACCTAAAGTCCATTTCCAGCTTTGGAAAAATTTCATCGAAGGATTGTGGATACACATAAATATAATAATAAATAAAATCGTTAATAAAGCTGTTAAAATTTATAGACACATCAATAAAAGTGTGTGTATAAATAAATCAGGGCTGCGACAAACCCAGCTTCAATACGTCAAAGATAACCGAACGTGAATAATCGCGGGTAGTTGGGAACAATGGGCATTTGCATTTATAAATGATTCATGTGCGACGCGCCCTGTTGTAAGAGAAAACGTTCCGGCTGATCGTTGTTGGCGGAATTTTGACGATTGCCAACCCTATGGTGGCAGGCCATGTCTGTTGTCATAAGCGGAGCGAATCGAGGTTGCTGAAATATTTACATTTGTAATACACATTTTGCATTACAGGGAATTGATTGCTATTTATATGTAATTCTGTATGCCTTGCATAATTTCTCTCTAAACTACTGCCGAGGTAAAAAGCACAGTGTTTGCCGTACCGAATTGTCGATCTATCGAACATACTAAATGTCACCAACACCTCGCACTGTAATTTTACTCAACAATTTATTTGAATATTATAGTTGTATGACGAACTTATAAATGTTTTTATTTTTTCTTGTTTTTTCTTGTTAATGTAATTGATCTAATCTTCTCTCTCTAATCTTATTATGCCTGCATATATGCATTCATATTATGTGTTAGAGAGAGTCAAGCTTCGGCACGAACCTTCGGCTCGACCGGAGTGATACCACGGCCCTACAGAAAAACGGCGTGAAACAACCACAGCGTTGTGTTTCGCCGTGTGAGTGAGATTACCGCAGGCCCAATCTTTCCCCTCGCCCGATCCCTCCTTAATCCCTTAATCTCCAAAACTCTAATCCTTGAAAGGTTGGGAACGCACTCAGTAGTCTTTCTTTGCGGGTGTCCATGGGCGGCGCTGATTGCTTACCATCAGGTAATCCGTCTGCTCGTTTGCCGACCTATTACATAAAAAAATATAATTATATATTTCTACACTACTGTATTTATCATGAAACGATTGTTATACAGGTTTCCAAACGTTTATCATCATCCCAAGCTTACCCACCGCTCCTGCTCCCGCTGCCGCTGCGTCTACCAGGACGCGCAATATACTCTAACGCAAACACGAAATCCGACTCTATAAATAGATATTGTGTTTGGAAAACCAAATATTTTCGCAGCGATATCGTTTTGATGAAGTTCGCTCCATGTTTTATCTGACACACGTTTGTTTTTGTCACAAACACACACGCACAGCCCGTTATAATATCACGTTACAAGCAACGCACACTTATAAACGATTTGTTTTTTATGACACATGTAAATAAATACGCACACATATGCACACAGTTGCTATATCATAAAACATCGACGACAAAATAGCTAAAGCAAATTCGTGAAGAGCCAAGTGATGTATGGCGGAGAGCGATATAGTGGGCGATAGCGTTCGAGTACAGCATAATTTGTTGTAGTGAATGTTGCGCTGCTGAGGTAATGCCGGGGAAACAGACCGTTTTGTGAAGTAAACTAAAATGTTCTTGGATGTACATCACTATGGCTTTTCTGTATTTTCTGGGAGTCCGTTGGATTTGTCTAGAATTTAGTAGGTACACATCATACACATATTCCTAAGACGTCTAAATAGCCTCGCCATATTGAACAGCAAATGCAAGGCGATGAAAATCTTTCCACACACAATAACATGACGTGGCCAGTACAAGCATGTCATACATGTGCATGTACAAGTGGTTTGCATTCTAAAGTAGACATTGTTCACGTCGTTTTCTTTAGCTGGCTTACATCTGAAGAGCGATAGTTAGAATTATGCCAAACTTAAAACTTGCTCCTGGAAGCCGCTATTAAATAAACGAACAGAGAGTGAGCATTGCTTATAATCTCCACGTCTTAAAACCGAAAGAAAAGAGAATTCCACGTTAATACGTTTGTAAAAGACTGGAATTCGAAACGAAGAAGTCTCTTCTCAATAAAAACACTATTGTTCAAGGTAGAATGGCTAATCTAGTGTCATCATGTCTGTTCCGCAGGTGAGTATCACAGCCCGTAGTGTTGTTTGCAAGCCAAATTTAATTTGAAATATTTTCGCCGCTGTTTAGACGCCGACTGTACTCGTAATGAATAAAACATTTCTTACTCATACGTCGCTCTAGCCTTTTTGATGGAGCCACTAAAGCGGCGGGGATAAGTGATAGCGAGTGGCTTAAGCCGAGTGTACGAGGAAGACAAGCGTCTCACGCGAGCTATCAGCCGCTAGTGCTGTACTAAACGAGCAATATTATCTCACGTGGACCATTACCGGTCTCACGACGGTTTTGATAATCTTATTGCGTGGAAACATTACAAACAATAAAAACATCTAGATATATCATGTTATTTCGTCGATACACAACCTCCGCTGTACATTGAACACTTTACTTCTACTGTAACATTATCAATAGACCGCAAGAGCAACATACATGAGTTATTTCTCTCCGCAGTCAGAGCCACAAATCGAGCGAGGCAATATAAAGCTTTGACGATTTTCTTTTCAGAATTTCAAGTGATTCTAAAGTCCTTCGGAGTTATACGACAGGTTTGCATACCGCAGCGGTGCACACACGTATACTTATGTACATGTGTGTGTATGTACGTCTTATATCATACTCAGTCCTATACAGATGGTGGGCTATCAATATGAATCGGTGTGAGAAAATAAACTGCTCTGAACAAACATAACAAATCAAGTTGTCGAAACGCATATTTTACAGAACAATAAATTTTCTCTGTACTTAAGTGGAAGCTTCAGTAGAGCTCATGCAGAGTGAACAGCACTCGCACCCACAACACCGGCAAGGCCCTCTTTAAGATTATATCAAAACACATTCTCATTCAAAGGAGCTTAATCTTGTTTGAAATGAGATGCAAGTGAATTATTTTTACGCAGCATGTGTCTGCGGAGGCTGAGAGAGGATCTGAAGGAGCCGGCACAAACGGATGCGCGGCTGTAATTGAATCGTTCCCAGCGGATTCAATCCGTCTGTGATGAGACAACGCATTTGCATGTGAAATGCATCTAAACATCCGAGCGCAATACTTTGAGCACTCACAGGACACAGCCGCTCAGTACACTGCTCTATATATATATGCTTTATGCTAAGGTTCTACAAATACATATTAATAATCATCATCTAGTATCTCCGTCGTTTGTTTTAATTCTCCCTTCCATCCCTTATGAGATCTTATGATCAAATACTGTGATCTTATGATCAAATACTGATTTTAGTCAGGGTTTCAGGTCAAGAAGAATAAGAAGGAACGGAAGGGTTTTTACCAATTCTCAATTAAAATCACTCCCTCTCACCCCGGGCGAGAGAAGTCATTTGATGATTTACTCCCCTCAAAGAAGTAGTATCTAACAAAAATTTTTAAAATCATTTTAAGTTTACGTTAAACAATAGCAATAACGATTAAAGTAAACTCTCACCGGAACGTGTTTACAAGTTAAGGAGCTGATTTACAACGAGGCAAAATGTGAGCACGCGACCACGGCCCGTGCGAGCGCCGACGGATAGTTTATATAATTTATACAAATTTCACGGCAGTTATCCCGCCGTTATGGGAGATTGGGGCCGGACGCGCCCTAATGACTCTCATGTTTTACTTCTCTTTGCCTTAACAGTCCTTGTGACACAATGACAATGACGTGGTTTTTGACGGTACAGTTTATACATAAGTAGCTTTGGCTCCATCATCTACTTAATAGATAATCAGTTAATGATAACACTATGAAGAAATTTTGTGTAGATAACTAGGGCACAGTCGCATATAATGTAGCGTGCTACGCCGTAGCGATCTAACTACGGCGTAGCAAAATACACATTGACATCTATATTTACCAAACAGGCGGCACAACTATTGCAATAAATATTTTATATTTTAAAACCATATGTGCTATTGCGCAAGTGCATTCCCTCGGTCCTGTTTGATGATGTCGTAACTCGTGTTTTTATTAACTTGACCTAATAGCCGCCGTAAACTTGGCAGTACTTTCAGCACAATCAACGTGTGTTAAATATCAGTATATCAGTATTTCGTTATCTTGTATTAAATAAAATAATCATTTGTTTGACTTTCTTCTTTTTACAGTTGATATTAAACGTATTAATCCAACATGAAAGTCCACAATAGCGCTCCCACTGATCTAGTTCAATCACGAGTGAAAGTGTGCTATAGTTTAGATCACTCGTGTTAAAAATCACTTAGCTGTCAGCCTTCGACTAGACATAAGCGAACCTCTCACACTTGAAGCAGTTTGCCACTTAGCGTGACTGTTGGCGTCGATTGGAGGACAAATCGGCTACAAGTGGCCGGCGTCGGCTAAAAGCATTGTCTTGTTCGACGCCGCGAGCGAAGCCGCGATATAACTTACTGCCACTTAATGTTACTACGTGCGGTTCCACACAATCAGAATACTGCAACGTGATAGAGATAGCTTATACACCCAGTATTTAAACATTTAACTTACACCTATGATTTGCATTGATAATAATTTTAATAATGCAACGAATGGATTGTCTAACTTTTGTTGATATAATTATATTTGGTATTTAGTACCAAGTGTAACAGCGTGCCGTTAGTTTAACCCGTTAGAACGTGAACAAAGGGAACGATCGCCACCTAATAACCCGCAGTCATTAAATATTCGCATAAATCCGAGCGTGCAGGCTCGCACGGGGGTAAATTTGACCGGGGATCAGGCAGCTAGCAATTACATGTCGGACTTTGCTCGCCGGAAAAAACTTGGATGTCGAAACAAACAAGTTATTTTAGGCAACACAAAGAGTCCATGAATTTATAATGCGGAGGGAAATTAGCTTTTTCCTCTCACTTGGCCGGCACGGGCTCGCGCGGGACGGGAGGGCGCCGCTCCGTCTGCGGAACACGGCCGGCCTTACACTGTAGAGAGCTCAATTACTGCGTGATGTAATTTGCATGATTTTATGACAACAATCAAATATTGCATTCCTTATCAGATGTTTTGCCTTATAGTGTCAACTCATGTTTTGATTTCGCATCTGATCCAAAGTGTCCTAAAATAAAGAAAATAAGCTTAAGTATATGATGTGTATTAGAAAGACAGAAAGCTTCAATTTTGTCAGCGGGCGTGATACACTCAGCAAATGTTTCCTGGCAACACTGAGCGTACGAGAGCGTTCATATTTAACCGGTTTTTTAAGGTGCGCTCCCCCTGTTCTACTCGCCTCACCCTCACACCCGCGCGCCCCAAGAAAAGGAATTTTTAATGTGGCTACATTTTTAATACACCTCCAGAGATTTTATTTCCGAGAAGACAACAATCATATTTAGGCACAATAAGCTTGTCGCGATCTCTCAAATATTCATCGCTCGCTGCTGATGACGCGCTCGCGTCTAATGGAGTTTTTATTGCCCTCCAAATGATTCCTCAACTATTCGATCCAGTTCATTACCAGCAGTTTATGTCTCACAATAAAGTATCAATATATTCTCAGTTATCAACGGACTCTTCTCAAATGGTAATTTAAATGGTTATAAAACATTTTTATGAATCGTATGTCCACCCAGCCATACAAATAACGTTAGGAATATAAACTTTATTAGCAATATATTGCGACCGTATTTGTTGGAAATGTGTTTGCAGTATTTCATATACGAGTATTTCACTTTATTATGTGTGTTTACTATTGTTTTCGTCACAAAAACCTTATTGAATAAGTATTACGCGTTTGCAAATATTTTTATATAAATCAATAAATATACGTGTGTTATAATTGTTTCAGTGGCTCATTGCATTTAATATTTCTAATGAGGTTTCCTGTTCGTAGCAACGGAATCCTGAATCTGCGTCAATTCGCAAGTACCTACGAGCCTGCTATTTATAACGTAACAAATAAAATGAATAAAATAAAAAGTTCCATTCCATTGGGCCGTTCCGTTTCATTTCCGGTGTCTCAGTCTTATAGACACCTTATTTTCACGGAGAAATTATAAAGCAAAGCAAAGACAGGGCATTTATTAAACCCCGGTAAGCTCCCGTGTAGCGACAGGCCACGAGACTAGCGACCTCTGCTGGGTGAACACGAACACAAGCCACGCTGTTCCACTCTGGATTTTAACGTGTAGTGTCAAGCATTATCTTAACCCTGAGTTTGAATATAAGTTTATCATTCGCCTACTAATTAATGTTCTTCTATTTATTAGTCCATCTTTTGGAAATGTGTAAGATATATTTTTTGTATGTTTCCTATCAGAATACCCTATGAATCTAATCTAGACTCTTGAAGTTGGCAGATGCCACATTGGTCCTGCGAGCGTGCTCCCGCTGGCTGCGTGGGCGCGGCCGCTCGCCAGGGCCGCTAGTGATAGATCACCCGCCACCGGCAGCCGGTGGAAAATCTGCATCTACTTACACCGGAGCCTGGATTTGCACTACACTTTATTTACGCCGCTCTTATAAATCGCCACCATCATACCCGCACGCCACCCAATTATGTGAGAGCAAGGAATATTACCTCTTCTTTGTTCAGCTTAAGTGCGCTGCACGTTAACAGGAGCATAAATGGATGACTTAAATATTCTGGGCAAAAAAAAAGAAAAGGGGCATGTAAGCCAATTGTATTTAAGTAACTTTTATTAAAGTTTCAATATTTGTATGTATGTATAAACGTTTGTGAAGAAGAATCTTCAAAATTCAAAATACTCGATCTTATATATATAACTGATATATCGTTAACCGATTAGGCTGTTGCATGACCGGGAATACTAAGCTGTATGATTTTACTAGCAATCCATGATTCAGGGAGTTTTCGATAAAAGCTGTTTTAAAAAATCTTCTTGAATATAAATATACTTATTATAATTTAGGATCTTCACGGATTCGTGGTCAATAAGTTTTACAATATTAATTATACTGGAGTTGTAACTATCTTCATGTTTTGAACATATATTGTAACATAAAAATAATTAATACTAAAGCTTTCCCATTTGCCAGTTTTTTTTTCAAACTACGTGTGCGCCTCCTCTCTGCTTCTCCATGATGTGGACACAAGCAGCGCGCGGTGCACCGCCGGCCATTGTTGTCTCCGTCATATTGCGCTCTCGAACTGTTGTGCTGAGCTCACCGTTACAGCCACGTCATAGCAATACTATAGTACTCTATACAAAACATTCAATAACTACTGGATTAATCCTCATCTAACCAGTGTTAGATGTAGCATGAAATTCATTATTATTTTGCTTGTGGTATAAAAAACTAAATAATGTGTAAAACAAAGTTCTGGTACATGTTTCACAGGTTTTGAACATTCGGTAAGACATGCAAGGATACTTGTTATATTATGACGCTCCTGGTAGTACCGTTGAGACCATTCAGTGCCTCGTGAAAATATTATCATTACCATTGTAAGAGGAGTGACTCAAACTATGAATGCACCCACATACACACAGTGCGCATTGTAACAGCAGGCACTCTCCCTGCGAGTGCTAATAAAAATAAAACGCTAACTACATTATAGTGAGGATTACCGACCGCCGCCATTAGTTATGTCACGAGGGCCCCTTCTTGTTACCTGGCAGAGATAAGTGGACTATTATACTGTTATACTGGTTCCTAGCGTTTATATTCCCAGGTAATACTTTACCTGACCGGTTAGAACTCACCGAGGCGGCGAGGCTACAAGTGCCCATTGCTACTCTACACATTCCGTCTCTATATACTCCAATCATCAAAAAAAAAAATTATAATAAAGTATACTCTGCTCATTTTGGTTCCTCTAGTAAGACTACAATTATATTGCTAAAGCTTTAAATTTTATTCCGTAGTTAAATGTTGTCGAACGAAGTCAGACGAGACCTCGGTCGGTACAACCCTCAGCTGGTCACCTAATTACCTCGGCCCGCCGCCACAACTTGCTCAATACTCTAATCAATCATTTATAGCACCTCGTTACTTCACCGCACCTCATTAAATCCTATCAATCATTTTATCCTGCTCTATCATAGGGCATTAGATAGAGATGGTAAACGGCGCGTGTATCGGGTTTAACACGGTTGGCGGTCCGGTAGTGAATTAAACGGTGCATTTGGGAGATAAATGCGAGCCTGCATCCGTGCGGCAGTGCGGCGTGCTGAGTTGTGCGCGACGCGCCCAGAGATGGCGCTGATTCTACTCATTAATCATTACGCGAACGTGTGACGTCATCGGGTAATGCGGAGACCACTCGGTCACATAATGTACACTTACAGAAGACTTAATACTGACAACCGTCATCTTGCTGGAGACAAAGGTTTATCCAAAAATATATTATTAAACTGATTTAAGAAGGCAGTCGTTGAATGTCTATTAATACCTACCTAGCTAAATATCAGAAATTTTAATAAACTTTTGCAGTATTCCTAAATCTATACAGAATTTATCATTATATCAAAACAATTAAGTGCAAATCGTTTCTACCTTTTAGAAATAATATAAAATGTCAAATCCAGTGAACCTTCTCAACCGTCTCCTTAGTGAAATTGTTGCATGTGCAATGTTCTGGTATAATGAAGGTACTGTAATATCGGCAACAGAATGACAATAAACTTCAGGTCACTGGAGATTAATGAGAGGAAATTAATGACCGAAGTAAATTAACAACGAAAAAAAACTACCTCACACTACGCTGTGCCGAGCACACTGTTATAGCAGCTGTAAGAGCGCCGTGGCGCCTCACCTTCCGCCTGACGCAGGTGCATACCGGGCACGGCAACTTCGGTAGGTTCCTGTATCGGATCCAGCGGGAGGAAACGCCCGGGTGTCGTCATTGTGGCGACGGCGGCGACCTGTCACGCCCAGCTTAAGTCGAGGCCATGGTGCAGAGTGAGAGGAAGAAACTGGGAAGCCGTCTCCTCTTTCTGTGAAGCAGTTATACGAGTACTTGCAAAAAGGACACGGAGCGCGTGAGTATGCTATATTGCTCCTCACGCCTTAGCAGCCATAGTAGACAACACTCCGGGCACCGGGGATCGAGATGATCTCCGGCCACCGTAAGCCCGGATTTGCGGACGGCGAGAAAGGGTAGCTCGTCGCCCGATCAGAACCAGACCCGAGCGTAAGGCGCGTAGCGTTCCGCGCGCTTATGATACCGTACTGAGGAGTGTAGGCATTTCCATTATTCTAACTTCTAACTAATGTGTGTAAGTCTGATAGTAATCCTCAGTGAAAACAGACTGCATCTAGATTTAGGATCATGTTTAGTATCTGTTTATCTTAAGAGCTATTTATACATTAAGTCTAGTACCTGGCAGGGTCATTACCAGTGAGTTGTAGCTGCGAGTGGAGAGATATCTTCGCCCGAGGTAGCCAGTGCTGGCAGTATTAACTGACAGATGAATGGAGCACGCCGCCGCCGCCTCCGATACAAGCCGCGCGTGTAAACACAGTGTTGTGTTACAACAATCACAACGAAATCCCATCGAACGTTTTAATTATACCGAAAGTTGATACTTCGGTATGTACTGTCATCGAATGTATTATTCATTTTTTTACTATTGTGTTTATTTGGAGCTCAAATGGAATTTCAGAACAACTGTCAAACAGGACTCAAACTAGAGCTTTGTCAGGTTGGAAAACTCGATACTGTATGGTAAATAATAAAATATAATGTTTACGTTTACAGGAACAAAAAGAAAGGCATGTTCCATACTCTGCCAGAACATGTGATATACGAGGGCAGGGAGTTATTTTATTAGGACATCTTAGCGCAGAACGTTAATCATGTGCCGGTATGTGGAGTCAAACGAGCGGCCATTTGTCCGCGGATGAGACCAACAGGGACCGACACCGTCCCGCTGCCCGGGTGTCCGGTGTCCGCGTGACCGGGTGTCGCACTCGGGACATTCACTTATACGTCACACTAAATTGTAATATCTTGTATTGTATGCTCTTTCTCATTTTGCTCCAATATCTCGAATTTATTTCAAATTTCAGTTATAATAATATTACCATGCACTGCCTGAGTGTCAGTTATCGTTTCCAAGATAAAATGTGAACGTGAGATATAAAGAAGGCTCTATATATCCAGATAGTTTGCTAGTATGTCTGTGGGGAATTATTAAATAAAGACTAAATAAAAATATTTATCATATTAAATTTGTTTCACTCTAACTTACAAGCAGTAACGAAATAAGAGCAAAACATAAGATAACATTGAATTGCCTTCGTTTTACAGAAAATAAAGTGCACTGCTGACATCTTCGGGTTTTTTTAATATCAAGAACATTGGAAACTATAGTCGTAAATGTCATACAAATAGAAACAAATGCAACTAATAGGACGTGAAGCGCTGCTCGCCATCGCTCGTCGGCTGCACAGTGGCGGCGCGCGGCGGCGGCGGCGGGACACCGACAAATGTCATAATATTTAGTGACGACGGCCTCCGCGAACATACGGACCTGAAGGATGTATCAATATTTCAATGTATCATATTTTTGTTTAACTATACCATATATATAGTATAGTTTAAAACCAAAGTATCTTCCCAAGTAAAGGCCTACACGTCGAAACTAAAAAAATCGTAATTAACTCAATCCCTACGTCTATTAAAAAACACGTCTATTAAATTACAAGTCCATACATTGCAGCGCCGTGTGTCCGCGCGGGCGCGGGGCGGCGCGACCTATGCTAAGCAATCAAGCGATGTAAAGCATTCGCGACGCGGCGCGGCAGCAACACGACTCCTGCACGACTCCGACACGACTCCAGCATGACTCCGGCCCATTTATAACCGCACGCTACTCTATTAACTTTCCGCTATTTCTTCGTATTTTTGTGTTCATTACTCTGTTATATCTCAGGGCTGCTACTGCGAAATATATGCTTACCTAATTAGGTCTAATTAATGATAGCAATAATAATATTTTGATCCGATGTTTTAAACTTTTTTATAAAAGTGAGTATTTTAATCTTAGAAACCAGAACGTGTTTGCTGATATCGCAATATTAATATTCAAGAGCTGAGCTTCAACATTCTCAAGTTAGTTGAGTAACACACAGATCTTTAAGTCACTTTAATGTTCGTTTAGCGGAGCAGCCGACTGTGCGCAGGTATTCCACATCGCGCCGCGCACCCGACAATGTACAACTACCACCTAAATGCCTGAAACATTCACGTTCGTACGCTCGCTGAGAAAAACTGGCGTTCACCTTACGAATACCATCTCCAATTCTATGAATTCAAACGATACAACCCTTAACCCGGCGGAGTAAGATATATAATTGAGTTGGCGAGGTGAGTTCAAAGTTTGTCAAGTATTTAGAGTGCATTACACATTCGCGGAGTTAAGTTGAAGTTGTGTGACGGGATCGGAATGTTAAAACATCGAGTGAGGAGCGAAGAGCGCGGTAAGGAGGCAAATGTATGTATGCACTTTTGTACCCGACAGAGTTGCTGTAGCGAACATATAGGAGCTGCTCGTCACGCGGGCTGTAGTCGAGCAGAGGGCGATTGTATGTACATTTCTCATTAATACCTGTGGGCTAACTCAGACTGTGGTACCTGCAAGATTACAACTAATGTGAACTTATCTAATAAATTGGAAGTTATTCGTGCAGTGTATCGGCCTGTCGAACGACGTGCGACGCGTGGCGGCAGTACATGTGGCGACACACCTGCGGATAAACAATACTCCTTAGTGCTGCGACAGCTCGCGTCAGCGGACACCGGGACACTGGGGCTCGGGGCGCGGGATCGAACGCTATATTAAATATTAAAAACTAATATATTTCCCGGCCCTCTGTCCAAAATGCTTGCCTCTAACAAACGCTATGTAAGATATAGCCCACAAACATACATATTTAAAAAAAGGTCGGTTTAAACGAGTACGGTTCATGTCCGATTGCGTAGTTTTACAATTGTTTAACAAATAATTCAATAGCTTTGTTTTTAGTTGTGTTGCTCTATATTTAGGCATTAGTTGACATAACTCTGAACCGAAATGAATGCACAATGACGTACAGTTAAACAGTTTATAAATGGACGTGTGTTTATTCGCGTGGTCATAATTACTATGTGAGCTGATATATTTAAATATATGATAGTAACATAGAGCACTAATAGTAATGCATTCATTTTGATGTTGGGAACATTAATGAGGAAAATTTATTAAAATTACAAATTACTATAAATTGCATTAAGTTGCCTCGCCGCTCGCTGTCGGTGGCCACTGCTTAATAAACCACTAACTACAGTAAGAGCACAATCAGCAATTCATTGGGCGTATGGCAGCGTTGGGTGAAGCGCGCCTGGAATCCCGGGCTGCCCGGGATTGCGACGGGATCCCGATGTATTTTCCCGGCGCGTTTGCTATTGTGGAATCCAAGGCACGCGGCCGCGGATTTTGACTTGTTCCACCAGCCAGCATATACTGGACTATTGTTTCAACATGCTTTTATACATTTTGGAGTTTATTTCAAACTGAATCTAAGAACCAACACATCGTGTCGTACGAATGTTTTGTATGCCGTGTATAACTGATTGAGGAAGTGACAGAGCTTCATACCAAAAATACATATCTTGAAATTATTACTATATGTGTATTTTATTAGTCACTATCGTAGAGTTGAACAGGTCGACGAACTAATGACCTGTACATACCACAACTTACTGCCGGGTATATTAATCACTTCAAATTAATGTAATACAATATCAATTAATAACGAATTAAAGTTGAATTTACTCTGGTTCTGTTTTGCATGGCACGCCGTCATTGGTTGCATGCAACCCATTCATTAAGTAACTAAGTAAATCAGACATTCAGAGGCAGTTCAAGGTGACACTATTAACAGCTTTGAAAAATCTGTTAAAAATGTACAAATTGAATTGCCCTTAAAAGTATAACAGACGTAACGTAGCAGTGTACGTTATATAATAAAATGATAGTTGGGCAAGAAAAGAAAAATAATATATGAAACAATCGTCTACGGAAGAATTTAATAACGCTCAATGGCAACCGGCACTAATTGTGAGCCAACGAGAGAGCTGGCGACGAGCAGGTCGCGGCGGGTCGCGGCGGGTCCGTGCGACCGCGGCGCGGGCGGCGGCGGGCGCGCGCGCCGCTAATTTCCCGCGTGGCCCATAAATTACGTGCACTTTGTCCTCACTATTCCGCGCCTCTGCGAATACCGCCTGAGGGTCAATTTGGGGCTTATAAAATACTATTGTTCCAAAGAAATATTATTTACTAGGAAAATGATACATATTTTGGTAATGTATTGCTTAATATACGTTGTAC